CATCAACTTAGTCTATTCTTGGCAAGACTTAAATTAGAATTGGAAGCTTTCATGCAAATACATAGTAGACATCTATCATACATATAATTTACTAAAACTACATAAAAGAGTTAATAACATAGTATACTATTGTTATTCGTGGAACCATAAATTTTATACTCAGATTTTTTATAGAATACATAAATTCTAGCAAACCCTGGCACTAGAATGGATTAAAAACACCTTTAAACCTTCTCTTTTCACTAACAAACCTATCCTAAAAAGCCAACACAATACTACCCAACCATTAAACTATAACAGTGCTAAGAATATTGCTATTGACTATCGTACAAGAAGTAATAAAGAAAAAAGAAATGGAAGTACTGCAGGAGATTATAAAAAATACAAAAGTTGAAAAAGTGTTACAAGAAATCCCAAATATTACTAATTAAATAAGATTAGTGGGTAGTTACAGGAAACGACAAATTCACATATTGATTGATTCTGATAGTAGATAATTTTCTAGATTTTAGATTCACAAAAGAATTAGATTGTATATGACATTATATTAAACTGATGATGATGGAGGTAGCAAGTGGTTATACATTGAGAGGAAACAAATGTAGCAAGAATTTTCAATGTTTCATCCAAGCGCATTGAAATAAAACATATTTTTTAAGTAATTCTTTTCAGTGACAAAGTAGTCTTATGAGTAAAGTGGTTATCATAACTAAATGATATTGTTCAAAATTTTAAATAACTCAAAATGAGCTACTTAAAAAAAAAAAAGTAGATTCAACTAATAGGATAAGATGAAAGAGATATTAAACAAATTTCTCAATAAAAAATGTCCAAACTTTTAAAAATAAATTAGTGGAGCATTTAGGTTTGGTTCAAAAAATATATTCAACGAAAATACTCAAAGAAAAAGAGCCAAGTAAAGAAGAATCTTTAGAAAAGCTTGAGCCAACAATAGACTGATATTTACCACCGAATAAATCATACGACCACGAAATAATATTCTATTAACCTATTAAAATAGTGAAAATTCAGCCTTACAAACATTCGAATGAACGAAAGTATTAATAGATTTTTTGTTCACACCATCTATTGCAATAAATAATTATCAAAAAACTTTTGTAACTAATTATATAAGAGATTTTGGGTTATTATTGAGAATATTAGATTTTTACTAGATGATAGGTAGTTTCAAGTTTCAATATTTGTTTGAAATATTCAATAACTTGATGTATAATAATGAGGTTTATTTTTTATTTATTACTTTGTGCAATTATCTATCCTTTGTAGGCAGGTTTGGCTGACATTCTTTGAGCACATTTAGGGCTGATCTTATGTTCGATGTACATCTACTAGTGATCTTATTCTTCACATCTTCATATAAAATGTGCACATGAAAATATTCTTCCTTACCGGCCCAAAAACCATTTCTTTACTCATTTTTCAAATGGCACCAGAGAGACTTGTTGAACAGTTTTCAACGAACTAACCGTGGTGATTAGTTCCTTTACACTAACCTGACTCTTAACTTCTTGAAGGATTTAAAGGAGCATTAATGCTTCAACTTGAGTTAGTTGTTGGGTATTCAGCTGGCCACATTGATTTTGCATGCTTTCAGGTTCAAGAAATGTACTCTTTATTGCAACAATCTTATCAACGATGTTGTTGTGAAGAAAGGAACGAAAGAAGCGTGCAAATGATAGATTTTGTGGGTTGAAGGTTGTATTGATAAAGCATGGTCTCCGAAGGGAGAAGGAAACTCGTGAGGAGGGGGGAAACTACATATAATGATAAAGCAATTGTTTTGTCATTGTAGCTATTATTGTCGTAGCAATGATGAAAAAAAATATATATATATATATCTTAGTAAAATTTTTATTGTAATTAAATGATTTAATTAAACATATATTGGAATTAAATATGTAATTATACTAGTTCTAATTAAAAATAATTTTATTAATTTCTCAATTAAATATCATATTAATTACTTAGTGAAAAGTTAAACGTACTACCTATTTGTATAAAATTGTTTAACTAAAAAGTATACTGAATAAAAACTTTGTACCAATTACTTTATTATTAGGAAATTCTAAAATATATCAAAATTATATTAAATGTCTAAATAGAAATTCAATATCTCACAATTGTATTACTTACGTTTTAATTAAAATACTACTAGAACTAAGACTTTCTAATTAAACTAATTGTTTAGTTACAAATTCTATTAAAATTAAATTCAACTATTTAAAAAAATATCTTAGCTGTTTAATTAAGAATTCAATTATGATTAAAATCTCTAATTAAAACTCCTATCCAAATTAAAAGCGTGCTACAAATGTATTAGTTAATTAAAAATTATACATATAGCATTCACACTTATCAAACTAAAATTAAATGTTTGTCATGCACGTGTAGTTGAAACTTTTATTGAAATTAAAGTACATTAACAGTCTAACCAAAAAATGTTGAAATTAAAATTATCTAATTAAAAATTTTATTGTAATTAATATTTTATGAAATAGATCGAAATTAAACTTTAATTATTGACAATATAATGTACTATCACATTGATCTAAAAGGTCTTTGCCCAAGAATTTTCCATATAATAATAAATTTTAATACAACAAAATAATATATTATATATATTATACTGTAATTTTATATGTTATAATATTATCCTTTTTTAAAATATATAAATTATATAATAAAAAAATTGGACAATGAAATGTATTATCTACCATCCATTTTATTTATATAAATAAAAGACATACTTTTTTAAGGTAATTCTTAAATATGTAAAAATTATTTTGGAAATTGTATCTGATTAAAAATTCAACTAAAGTGAACATTTAATTAGAAACTTTACTAATCACCTAATTAAAATTTATATTTAAAAAAAAAAAAAAATCATTTTATATTATGTGCACGGATATGAATCTAGTTATGACATAAACTTTAATATATAATTTTCCTTTTTGGTCAGATTACTTTATGTGAAAATAAGAGCTATACGGGTTTGAATTAATGAGTAAACAAAAAAAAAAATACTACTAATATTTTGAATATTAAATTTAATTAAATCTATAAAATCTATTGTCAAACATAATTTTTTAAATGTAATTAGAAGAAAAATTAAATGAAGTAAGAGACACCATCCGTAGATATCTCCAAATCATTAGACTTGTGAATATCCATATTATTGCTGCAATTACTCATGTCTTTCGTAGATATAATCGTGCAGTTTTCAAACTCTATTTGCAAAGATTTCAACCACTATGCAAGCCTTAACTTAATAATAAGACATATCCCCATCTCATTTCTAACCAAACAACATAAAAGAGAACCTCAATTACCTTCTTGCGGCCCTCTTGATTGCTAATGTTAGGCCGTGAAGCAAAAAATTGGCTAATAGTTTGAGGGCTAGCCTAATGAATTTTCCACCACCATCAGCAATAACTTTAGATTTTCTAAGGCTAGACATAGTTAAGGATGAGATGATTGGCGGGCTCCCATTTGCTTCGACATAACAATAAAGCATTTGTAAAATTCAATTTATACTTGTATTTATTAAGATAATCAATCAACAAAAAAGACACCCTTCATTAGTTGTCAAATAAAGATTAAAACCTTTAGAGGGGCTT